ATATAGACTGTTTGTCCTACATGGTGCTATTCATATTTGTACTTCACTGTCGCTGGTAGATATGGTCTAATTGTCAGTGAAGTAAGTACAGATCTTCTATGGTCTATTGTCTATAGACCATAGAAGATCCTATGGACTTACATAATGGTCCATCTGTAAAATTCTTTATCTTTTATCGGAATGCTGACAATTTGTCTATCAATCTTGCTCTAATGACTACAGGTGAGCAGGGTGTGTTTATGACTGAGGTGATTCCAGGAGGTGTGGCAGACAAAGCAGGAGTCCGAGTCAAAGATCATCTGCTCCAAGTCAATGGGGAGAATGTGGAAATATCCACCCACGATGAAGTAGTGGAAAAAATCAAACAAGGAGGCAATGGCGTCATGTTTCTACTGGCTGATGGGGCAACTAAACAGTTCTATCAAAAGGGTTTGTTGTCCGCAACAGTGAAGTATCTGCCTCTCCAACCACGCATCATCAAGGTGACCAAAGGCTCTGATGGATACGGCTTTCTACTCAGAGAGGAACCCAACCAACCAGGCAAGGCTATTATAATGAACTGCATGTATACTGTTTAAAGACAGGTATAGTTTATTACTGTGCCCTGACTTGTTGCAGGACACTTCATAAAGGACATTGACAAAGGCAGCCCAGCACAAAAAGCAGGTCTGAAGAATATGGACATATTGGTGGCTGTGAATGGCATGCAGGTGGATGATAGCAGTCATGAGCAGGTTGTGGACAAGATCAAACAAAGTGGAGACAAATGCTGCTTTCTTGTGGTGGACAAAGAAACGGACCAAATGTATAAGAAGGTGAGCCACAAACTCATTCTGTATCTTTAATTCAGAATAATACAACATCATGCTGTGTATCCTACAGGGGCAAGTGTCTCCTATGCTCTTCTGGGAGGAAATGAAAGAGTCCAACTCCCCACCCAGTTACACAGAGGCTATGAAAATGCCTGCTTCTGTTCAACCATCCACTTCTGCTCAAGACAAAAAAGAGGACCTGAGGCCTAAGTTGTGTAGGATGGAGAAGACCCCTGCTGGCTTTGGCTTCCATCTAAATGGCATTGAAGGTGTGTCAGGTCAATACATCAAGGAGGTATGTCTAACAACAATGTACATGTTATGATAGTTACTGTTTCAAAACCAAGTGGTAAAGATGTTCCTTGTTTCAGGTGGTGAAAGGTGGAGCAGCAGACAAGGCAGGCCTGGAGGATGACGACATTGTTGTGGAGGTAGACGGGGTAAATGTGGAGCAGAACACCCATGCAGAGGTTGTGGAAATGATACGCAAAAGTGGCAACTCTCTGGAGATACTGGTGGCGAGCAAGAATGTCTACAAACAGCTTAAAGCCAAAGGGGTGCCCATCACCCGCCTGCTCCTCAAGGAAACAACCCACTGTGGAGTCCACACTGCAGACAGTCCAGATACAAGCAAGAAGATCCAGAAAGAAGCCAGGCCTGTAACTCCACCTAAAGCAGAAAAACAGAGGGTGAGTGGTGCTTTTTGTGTTCAAAGGCCAGATTGGTTTTAGACATAAGGCTTTCATGCAGGTTCAAGTGCTTTAACTTAAACATTTTGAGTTGCATATTTCATATGTATGGATCTTTAAGTTATCTTCTACCACCAATGAAACATACCTTAATCCGTATTAGTTCTGTTCTCGAATTAATCTAAATAAACCTTTGCAAATTTCACCTTTACCATCAATCCAAGTTAGCCACTCAAGGTAAAGTTTGATTTAAACAGCGTTACATTATACTATTATATATCCTGAAGATCTTAAATTGTTTCGCATTTGATTACAAAGTATGAACATGTATCAATACTCAGACCAATATTATATTTATTAAGATTTCTTTTTTGGTTCAACACGCAAATGTTTGTGGAAATGTGCAGGGTCAAAATGAAGAAGCACAACGTCACTTCCTGTTTTCATCCTGGCTTTAGCTGTGACGACTCAGGGAGCAGTTGTGTGTGTGTGTGTGTGTGTGTGGGGGGGGGGACGACTGTTAGACTAATACAAGTTTTGTTTTTCCTCTTGTGTGGTTGTTTCTATAGGGGAAATATAAATGTGTGGTGTTAAATGTTAGTGATTATGATAAATTGTTTTTCACTGGATTCTAGCATTTTTGAGTACATAGAAATGTTAATCCATTTTAAGATGCTATTTAAGCTTTTTCTGCAGGGAAATGTCAGGTCAGTGTATGTGCACTGGAAATAAATGTAGGTTCCTTTGATTTTAGTTTGGTTGGCAGCCCAGCAGTTTGGGCTGTCACCTTTCAACAAGGTCACAGAATCACCTCCCAGCCCGAGGCCTTTCTTGGTGGAGTCTGCATGATTTTCCCACACTTATTATTTTTTTTTTTTTCCCAATCCTCATGTTTCTTCTCACATACCAAAATCATGCATGTTTGACAAAGTGGTAATTCTAATTTGTGCCTTGGGTGTGAGAGTGCAAGGGTTGTTTGTTTTATTTGTTTGTATGTGACCCTATGATGGACGTATGACCTGTCCAGCGTTCATCCTGCCTCTCGCAGCCACTGCTGGAGATAGGCACCAGCTTTCTGCCACCTAGAAAGGAAAAGTGCATTAAACAAATAGATGGTTTTAGTTGTTTAGCTGATCTACAGCAAGTTGTCTTAGTCTTCTTTTGGATTTTTGTAAATAACTCCTAGCAGCTCCTCATTAATCATAATTAAAAAAAGGTTTAGGAAACTCTTCTATATTGTTTTACACCAAGAGATCTTGTAAATGGATTTACTAATTGGTGTCTTCTAGCATGATTTGTGGTTGATGATTCATGTTACATCAAGTAACATATTAATATTCAACCACGTTAATTACAAGCAAGACTGAACAAACATCTGGCTTAACTGTGGTTATTAGCTGGTGTTACCATAAAAAAATTATGAGCAAGTCAATTCAAGATCATACATTATTTTCTAGAAAATTAGTCAACAGTTTGTACATTTTATTGGACGTTTGAATATTAATCCCGATAAAGATCAGTTCTTTAACCATCTACTTGTGTGCAGGGAAATATAACTAAAACTGCATTTATTGTTTTACTTTTATCTGTAAGCAACTAAAGCCCACAAATCAGTACAATTTTTTTAAAATCATAAAACAGGAAAAAAAAAAAGCATCTCCATCCTTGCATAGATATTTTTTCATGTGTGGAGATTAGTTAACGTCAGTGGGAGCATTTGTCGCATCTAGGAGCACAGATGTTGATTCAGAATATCTTCCTCCAGTTTAGATTTGCTTAAAAACATGCTGGTTTATGAATAACCCACAGAAATAATAAGTAACGTAACAAATACCCAATAAAGAACACAGAAATGTTACTTTCACAATAACTGCTGCACCGAGGTAGCAGCACACTGTGGATTTTAGATGTTAATAGAAGCCATGACACTTCACATCTTCCTTTTCTTCTCTTAGACTCCATCGGTTTCATCGTCCTCATCTGAAGAGAGCTTTGACGAGAGTCTTTGAGAAGCGACTTCAAGGACAACATCCTCACTCGGACTAATCCAACGTTGATTTTTGTTCGCTCTGAACTTCACACATCCTGTCACGATTAAGACATTAGACGTGGTGAATTTTAAGAACGAGGCCAGTGAAGAACTGACAAAATCTGGGTCATTGCAGAAAAATGGTTTTGTTTTGGGGTTTTTTTTAGATGAGAACATAAAACATGCTGTTTAGAAACGTGCAACCATAAATGTTTTTAAGCTGCTTGTTGATCAAATATTACACACTGACGAGTGACATCTTTTCCTGGATGCTACTAAAATGAAAATCTATATTTCCAACAAATAAAATTGTCTTTCATGCATTTCTTTCTGGACACTCTGCTGCTTTTATTTAATGTTGAAACAAAAATGCTGTTTTCATTTATGAGAGTGAAATTTATTAAAATAAATGAACACATGCTATCTGGGTAAAGCCTGACTTTATGGATGTCATTTTTGTTCAGGGTGAAATTTTATAACGCATAAAAAAATCACGACTATTTATGTTTCTTCACTTTCAGATGAAGTAAAACAGGAATGTACAACAGAAAGTTTTGCACCAGTGTATTTAGACAAAAATATTTAGAAAAATAACATTTAGAAGCATGGAGAGCTACCAGAACAAAATGTTGCATTCTGTGTTTAATTGTTGTTCTGCAAAATACTGCAAGAGTCCAGCTGGAAAGTTAGTTTAGTTTGCGCTCCAACAGCTCCCCAAACGTTGCAACCAAACATCTTCCTGCTTCTGGATACTTCCAATTTACAATTTATTCAAGAAATCAGCTCCTGGGCTTTGTTTTGAGACAGGAGGCGAGCTGTGGGGGGGTCAGAGGGCCATGTGTTTCTCTGGTGCCTGCTTGTGGGCCAGATACAGGAAGAGGATGCTGGACAGGGCGCTAACCAGGAAGATGACGTCAAACCAGCGGTGGTAAAAGTTGAACTGTAGCTCGCCCAGAACCTCGGTCACGATGGAGCGATACTCCAGAGGCATGCTCATACGCATCAGTAGTACAGATGAAACAAAATACATCCCCTGTTAAAGACACACAATAAATATTGTTTTTAGATTTAACTTAAGTTCGCAGGCAAAGCATGGCCAGGAAGAGACACTCACCATGATCTGAGCAAGGACGAGCACGATGACGTTGGAAGACTTGCTGCTTGAGATTGCATAGAAGAACTAAAAATAAAGCAGCAGAAAATAATCATTTTACAGAACTAAAAAAAAATAATTACAGAAAAATCTGGTAAAATTGTTGTAAGATGTTGGAAAAACACAGCAGCAGTGAAGTTATAAAACTCAAGATTTCAGCAAAGATATTTTGAGATTAAAGCAGAACATCTTAACTATTGAGTCTGACATTTATTTATTTTACAAACTTATTCAACGTTCAGACATTTCTTCATGTAACTGTGTCTTACCTTAGTAAGAGTGATGAGTAAGCCCCGTATGGAAGTAACAATTATTATTCCAACCAAGATGAAAGAAATATGTTGAGACCAAAACTTAACCTGGGACGAGAAAAAGAATGACACATAAGGTTCAGGTTTATTTGTCATATGCAAATTGACACAAGGTCAACAACGCAATAAAATGCTCAGGACAAGAAGAACTGTCTCGACTCGTCAAAAAACAACAAGAAATACCAAAGCATGCAACAAAAATACAAAAACAAGGCGCCACAAGTGAAAAAGAAATACATCTACAGAAGAATGGTCCAATTAACAGAGTGGTTCTTTTAGCAAATTGGTTCTATTAGCAACATGGTCTTATTAGATGTTCGGCTCTGTTAGCAATGTGGTCTTGTTAGCAGTGTGGTTCTATTAGCAGTGTGATTCTGTTAGCAGTGTGATTCTGTTAGCAGTGTGAATCTGTTAACAGTGTGGTTCTGTTAGCAGTGTGAATCTGTTAACAGTGTGGTCCTGTTAGCAGTGTGGTCTCGTTAGCAGTGTGGTCCTGTTAGCAGTGTGGTTCTATTAGCAGTGTGGTACCGTTAGCAGTGTGGTCCTGTTAGCAGTGTGGTCACGTTAGCAGTGTGGTTCTGTTAGCAGTGTGGTCCTGTTAGCAGTGTG